AGAATGAACCACCGTCTAGGGCGTTCTAGAACTGGTCATTTCGCAACCCTGACGTTTTAAAACTAGTCATTTCAAAACAGCGACGTTTTAGAACTGGTCATTTCGCAACCGGACAATTCAAGATAGTTCTAGAACGTCCAGTTACGAAAATGTCAGTTCCAAAACGTCCGGTTATAAAATGTCATAGTTGCGAAACGGTCAGTTGCGAACGTCTCTAGCCTCCCGAAACTTCAAATGGCTTCAAGAAGCGCTAGAAACCTGGTTTATGGACTAAAATGAAGATGGTTTTGCTACTTTTCCAGCTGTCTTCGTGAAAAACAACACTCAAGTCATCCTAACGCTCCGTTTGGCATTCCGTCCACTCGTCTTCATCGACTACATCATCACATCCGCATGGCCAGTTAACAAGAATGTACATCAGGCGGTCAATGTGGAATTGGTTTTGGAGGGACCGTATAATGAGTTGAAGGTAAGGAGAACTGTGGCATAGGAAATGTTAAGGTGGCCTAGAGTTTCAGAATAGAAGGATCATGAAGTTTCTAGGCCACCTGGGAGCTGAGATATAGCGATTTGAAGTTTCGGGAGGCTAGAGACGCCAGGCGACGAGACACACTGCGTCTATAACCCTGCAAATATTCAAGGCGCTGTATCTCAACTTCTAGATAAGCTAGAAATCTGATTCTTGAACCAAAATGAAGTCAGATTTCTATATCATCATTACTAATAACATTCACCAGATTCCGTATGTGCGTATGTATGTCGCGCGCCTTATCACCCACTCAACGTTCACCGATTGAGCTGAAACCTGGACAGATAGATCAGAATTGTGTCTAATTGAATGCCCGAACTCTTCATTTTCCGAAATTTTGATTTCGAAGTCTTCTGGAGACGTTCCTTAGGTTCACCACAGTAACGGGTGGTGGGCAGAGAGGGCGGTTCAGCCGCGAAGAGGCGTAAACCGACTGGAATTTCAATGTTTATGAATTCTCAAGATTTGGGGGAATTTCGATATTTCAGAAAAATCTAAAAATGGAATCTCTGGGTTTCAAAATTCTGCAATCCTACATTTCACACATTTCTGTCCAAATTTGAACTTTCTAGCTCGTCTAGGAGCCGAGATATAGGCATTTGAAGTTTCAGGAGGCGAGAGACGCCAGACGACGAGACACACTGCGTCTCTAGCCTCTCGCAAACTTCAAATGGCTCTATCTCAGCTCTTAGTAGTGCTAGAGAGTTGGTTTTTAGACAGAACTGAAGGAGGTTTTGTCAATTTTATAATTATAGACAGTTTTGAATTTTTTTGTATTTTTGAAAAAGTGATCTGAAACGGACTTGCCTACAGTAGTCCAAGAATAAGCCTAAAATAGCTGAAAAGGGCTTGGAAACAGTCAAAAAACGAGCAAAATCGGTTCAATTTGAGCTGAGATACAGCGATTCGAGGTTTCAAACGTATGAGACGCAGTGTGACTCGTCGTCTGGCGTCCCTAGCCTCAAGATGTTCAAATTTTCTATTGATATTCATAAAATAGACAAAATCTTCTTCAAATCTGTCCAAGAACCAACTTTCTAGCTAATCTAGGAGCCGAGATATAGCCCTTCAAAGTTTCAGAGGCTAGAGACGCCAGACGACGAGACACACTGTGTCTCTAGCCTCCTGAAATTTCAAATAGCTGCATCTCGGGTTCTAGGAGAGCTAGAAAGCTGGAAATTGGACCAAAATGGAGCCAAGGTAGTGCTGCTTCAAGTTCAGTGGGCTAGAGACGAAGTGTGTCTCGTCGTCTGGCGTCTCTAGCCTCCTCGCACTACAAACAGCTGTATCTCGGTTTCTAGATGAGCTAGAAACCTGGTTTTTGGACCAAAATGGAGCAAATGAGCTCTATTGTCTATAGATAGGCTAGTAGGGCAAGAAAGTTGGACAATGAATCAAAATCGAGCTGGAAACACCGATCAGAATCTAATGGAGCTCCTCTTCTTCATCTAAGAAAAAAGGTCCCACCCTACGCACTTCAAATAGCTATATCTCAATTCCTAGAAGCGCTAGAACCATGCTTTTTTTCACTCGAAAATCGCCGATTCCTTCCAGGACCTGCTCACCGAGAGCAACTACCTGAATCCGGTCCGCATGAATCTCATAAAGTCGGTAATCGACGGAATCATCGACGCGGATCGTCTCCTCCTTCACATTCACTCGTTCGACACGAAAATTGCGTATTTCACGATTCCGCCGGGTGTCACCAAAGAATATGCGCTCTTTATGCAGGGCGACTCGTCGAGACAACTCCTGCCCCAGTTGTGCATTGTGTGAGTCCCATTTTTTGAGGGTATTGGCTGAAATTTGGGGTGTTGGGTTCCCAAAAATCGGATTTGAATCGAGAAATTGGTCCTAGAAACTTTTTTTAATTTTTTCGAATTTCTAGGTCATATTTGGATTTCTAGGTCATGACCTAGATTTTTGGATTTCTAGGCCATATTTGGATTTCTAGGCCATGACCTAGATTTTTGGATTTCTAGGCCATATTTGGAGTTCTAGGTCATGACCCAGTTTTTTGGATTTCTAGGTCATGACCTAGTTTTTTTGGATTTCTAGGTCCTATTTGGATTTCTAGGTCGTGACCTAGTTTTTAAGAATTCTAGGTCATGACCTAGTTTTTTGGATTTCTAGGTCATATTTGGATTTCTAGGCCCTGACCTAGATTTTTGGATTTCTAGGTCATGACCCAGTTTTTTGGATTTCTAGGTCATGACCTAGTTTTTTGGATTTCTAGGCCATATTTGGATTTCTAGGTCATGACCCAGTTTTTTGGATTTCTAGTAATGACCCAGTTTTTTGGATTTCTAGGCCATATTTGGATTTCTAGGTCATGACCCAGTTTTTTGGATTTCTAGGTAATGACCTTAATTTTTTGTATTTTTTAGGCCATGACCTAGATTTTTTGAATTTTCGAAATTTTTAGAAAACCAGACGGCGTCAAAACCCGCGGATTCGTGAATTTCTGGAAGAAAATGCTGGAAGTGGACGATGGAAATTGGCAAAAATGGGTCCACACCCAGACAGAACGGTGTCTTCTGAATCTCATCCACGTGCCCTTCGAAATGTTCACAACGGAGCGAATTTTGAATTTCGACACTCGTTACCCGCTGAACGCCGTCCTCTACTCGGTCAAAGTTCGTTCAACGTTCTGTTTGGTCGAGAATCAGACATATGTCACTTTGGTCTATGCGACGGAGAAGTCCAAGAAGCCAGCGTACTTTTTCATTCGAAAAGTCATTTGTCGAGGACCGGTGGCCATTGTGAAGGTAGGAAAATTGGGAGAAATGGTCTAAATGTGTCTGAAATAGATTAAAAGTGGCTGAAACTTGGGGAATTTTGAGCTAAAAATTGTCAAAACTGATTGAAGATGGTCAAAAAATCATGAAAAATGACTCAAAATTCATGAAAATAGATTCAAAAATTATATGAAAAAAATGGACCAAAATTCATGTGAAATGGTCAAAAAAGTCCACAGTTGACCCCGAATCTAGAATTCCAGACATGCGCTAGAAAATTGGACTACTTTTGAGTGAAATGGTCCAAAAGTGCCGAAACGGACCAACAACGGACCACCGGCCGACAAAAATCGGAAAATCCGATTCACACCGTGCATTCCTGTTCAAAAACCAGGTTTCTAGCTCACCTAGGAGCTGAGGTACGGTCATTGAAAGTTTCAGGAGGCTAGAGACGCAGCGTGTCTCGTCGTCTGCGTCTCTAGCCTTGGTAACTTCAAATGCCTGTATCTCGGGTTCTGGAAGGCCTAGAAAGTTGGTTTTTAGACCAAAATGATTGTCAGGACCTTCCGAAAATATAGAAATTTAAACGAAAATCTATTTTGCAGACAGCCTTCCTCGGTGGCGTCACCTCGATCGAACGTCGTCGAGCGGTGGATGCGCAACGACAGCGTTTGATAAATGTGACGTATGGAACGATTCTAAACGAGGAGGATTTGCGAAAAGAGGCGGTGCGATATCGATACGAAGCGAACGCGGCGAAACTCTATATGGACCCGCAGAAGATTTACGAGAAGCGTTTCGATCCGGCGTGTACGGTATTCAAGTGAGAGTTGGGCTGAAAAACGACTAAAACTGGCATGAA